GCCTGTTTAGGGTTTAGGGTTTAGGGTTTAGGGTTTAGGAAACCCCCCTCAGGGTTTTGGGGTTTAGGGCTTATAGGTTTTATAGGCTTGACCAAACCCGAAGACCCCAAGCCCTAAACGCAACATTGCAGGCAGCAAGACGGTCGGAGAGCTGCTGACCACAGCAGGTTGGCGCTTGTTTCAAGTTGGGCTTCTTGGGGGTTTGGGGTTAGTTTAGGGACGTTGATTGCCTAACCCCTAAACCCTAAACCCTAAACCCTAAACCCTAAACCCTAAACCCTAAACCCCAAAGGGGTTCAGGCTGCCCTAAAACGCGCGTGGGGTGCTGGAGCCTTGGGGAAACCTGGGGATCACACACTAGTACTTTGAGACCCCAAGACTCTGAACCTGAAATCCCAACCTCCCCCTGTTCCTCAACCCTGAACCCCAAATCCTGACCCTAAATCCAAAATCCTAACCCTAAACCCCAAACCCTAAATCCCAAACCCTAAGCCCCAAACAATGAACCCGCGTAACGGCTTCCTGAAGAACCCTAAGAAGCCTCATGGCCCATGGCAGGTCTCGGGCCTCTTGCTTGGCAGCCATTCAGTGCGGGCGCTGCAGCGCGCGATGCCACGGGAGCGCGCGCGCCATGGCCAAGGAATGGGGGGGGTGGACTCTACCCGAAGTCCCCAAACTATTTAAAAGTCTAAATCTAAACCCTAAACCCTAAACCTTCAAGCTACAAATACCTTGGGGTTTCATTCAGGGTTTAGGATTGCGGGCTCGTTGTAAGTGTTTGGCGTTTTCGGGGCAAGCCCCTAGCCCGCCGAAGCCTAAACCCCTAAACTTTAAACGCTAAACCATAAACTTTAAACCCCTAAACCCAAAATTCATTAAGCCCTAGACCCCAAAACCCTAAACTTTAAACCCCTAAACCCTACTTGACCCTAAACCCCAAAACCTAAAACCTAAACTTTAAACCCCTACACCCCCTGAACCCCCTAAAACCCTCCAAATCCTAAACCCTAAGCCCCCAAACCCTAAGCTCCACAAACCCTAAGCACTAAACCCTAAACCCTAAACCCTAAACCCTAAACCCTAAACCCTAAACCCTAAACCCTAAACCCCAAGCCCTAAACCCTAAACCGCAAGGTGGGAAGCGAGGTGCCCCTCGAAGCCCTGGCCAAGCTCGAGGGAAGTCGAAACCTGGACCGGGGCTGTGGGGGTTGAGGGTTTAGGGTTTGGGGTTTAGGGTTTGGGGTTTAGGGTTTAGGGTTTTGGGGGGGGGGGATTAGGGTTTGGTTTAAGGCTTAGGGGGGCATTGGGGGCTTTGGGGGTTTTTGCGTGGGTTTCAGGGTTTAGGGTTTAGGTCCCGGGGGTTCAGAGGGTTTAGAGAATTTAGGGGATTAGAGGGTTTAGAGGGCTTACGGGGCTTGGAGGGTTTAGGGTTTTGGGGGACCCTAAACCCTAAACCACCCTAAACCCTAAACCCTGAACCCCAAACCCTAAATCCTAAATCCTTAACCCGTTTAGATTTTCCCTGTTTGGGTGGTTGTGATCTTGCTGTGGGCGGCGTGCTTGCAGCTGTAGCGGCTCTTCGCCCCCTTTCCCACTGGCCGCTTCCCCTTTAAGGATGTTCCTTGAACTTACCTTGGGATTCTGTATATACTTTAAGCCTATCTTCCTTTTTTTGGGGGTCTGGGGCTCTTTGGATTTATCTTCCCACATGGCGCGGCTGAACCGCGCAGACATGGTAGGGTTGAAGGCCTACACTTTGAGTATGTGGAAGTCGTTGCCTGCATAGCAAATTGTGCACTCGTCAAAAGAATAAGAGCTTATAATTGTGGGGTCAATAAGTACCATGAACCGCCAGGCAATCAAGGAGTAATTGGGCTCTCTCTGGGTTTAGGGTTTAGGGTTTAGGGTTTAGGGTTTAGGGTTTCGGGTTTAGGGTTTAGGGAAGCTTTTGCTGAGTTTGGCGAGGCTCACAAGAAGCATCTGAAACTCCAGGTTTGGAACCTTAGCCTCCAACCGCAGATTCCTAAAGGGTGGTGTCCTGAAGCCCTAAAGCCCTAAAGTAGCCTGAACCCCCGAACTATGCTTTCCCTAAAAAAGAACCGCATCACATGTGAGGATCAAGGGAACATTATGTGAGGGGGTACAGATTTAGTCTTTGCGGTTTGGTCGTTGGAGTTTGGGAGGCTTCTTAGAGCATCCTAGTCCCCCTGGTTCTTAGTAGGGAATGGGAGAATTAGGGCCCTATATAGATATATGGATAGATATATGTATATATATATATACACACATATACGGGGTTTACGAAAATAAGGGAATAGTAGGATCCCCTTACAACAAGGACCCCAATAAGGTAACCCTAATTTCGGAAACCCCCGTGTATACCCTTTCGGGGATTATGTAGGGCCCTATATATATATATATATATACGCTTTAAGGGAGTATGTAGGGGTACTCATTCGGCCATTCCCCGCAAAGAGCCAGCCAGTAATTCTTGACAGAGAAAGCCAACCTGGGAGCACGTTTAGGGTTTAGGGTTTAGGGCTTAGGGTGCTTTAGCGAGCTTCTGG